GGTGTGTGCGTGAGGTGGAGGTCGCAGGGTCTCCTCCTCTATGTTTTGAGTCTCTAAACATAGAGACCCGAGGTGGTGCAAGAATGTTGGGGGGGGGGGGGAGGGGAGGGCTTGCGACGACCCACAGAAGGGCGAAGAGAAAAGAAAGGAGAGATAGAAGGAAAGGGAAGAGAGAAGAAGTGAGTGAGAGAAAAGAAGGAAGAGAAAGGAGAGAGAAGAGAAGAGAGAGAAAGAAGAAAGGTGAAAGAAGAAGAAGGGATAAAAAAAAGAGAGAAGAAAGCACAGATGGCGATGAGCTTCTGCCGTCCATGAAAGAGGAGAGAGAAGGAAAAAGGAAGCATGGACGGCAATGGGCTTCCGCCATCCATAAAAGGCGAGAGAGAAAGAAAGAGAACATAGACGGTGATGGGCTTTCGCCGTTCATGAAAGGAGAGAGAGTAGCAGAAAATATGGACGGTAATGGGCTTCTGCCATCCATGACAGATGAAAGAGGAGAGAGAAAGAACATGGATGGCGATGGGTTCCGCCGCCCATGACAAAGGAGAGAGGCAGGAATGAGAAAGAGAAAGACACGCGCAACGCTAGGCATCACCGCTCATATCTTAAGGGACTCAGACACAACCTGACCCACCACTAGGGAAAGGGCCCGGTTCAGTGTCCTTGTTAAAGAATGAGGAAATGAATGTCATGCGCGGCGATGAGCATCGCCGTACACAACAGGGGGAAGGAAAAACTTGAACAGAGGCCCGGCCCACCACTCGGGTTATGGCTCGGCTTACTATGCATGTTTCCAGAGGATAAAGGAAGAATGAGAATGTCATGTCCGACGAAAGGTATTATCGTGCATGATTGGAGAGGAGAGAGAAAAGAAATAATAGGTTGAGAGAAAGAAAGACAGAGATGAAGAAAGAGGGTTTAGGGAATAGAAAGAAGAAAGGAAAGTTGAGAGAGAAGGAAAGTGAACAGTGAGAGATGAAAAGAAAGAAGAGAGAGAAAAAGAAAGTCAGGAGAGAGGTTAGGAAAGAGTTAAAGGAGAAAGAAGGAAAGAGATGGAAAGAGATTACGAAAGACCAGAGAAGAAAGCAGGAAAGAGAGAGAAGGAAATACTCACAGCGCTGCCACTACCGTGTGTGTTAGAGAGAGAAAACAAAATAGAGAGAGAAGTTCATGCCTAGCATTGCATGCACGTTCAGACAGGGAGAAGCAGAGAGAAAGATGGAGAAAAGAGAGAATAAATACAGGAGAAGAAGAAGAAGGAGAATAGAGAGAAGGAAACGTGCACGATGGTGCCATTGCCATGCACGTTCAGACAGGGAGAAACAGTGAGAAAGATAGAGCAGAGAAATAATAAAGAAGGCGAAGAGGAAGAACGAGAAGAGAGAAAGAGAAGGAAGAGATAAGCGTGCACGGCTCTGCCACAGCCGTGCATGTTCACAGAGAGGAAGAGAGAGAAGCGGAGAAAATAAGAAGAAAGAAAAGAGAGAGGAAGAAAGAAAGAGAAAAAGGAGGAGAGAGAAGAAAGGAAGAGAGAAATACCTTAAGAAAGAGGGGTACAAGCTTAATTCTTCTCTCTCCTCTCTCTCTCTCCAAGACGTGCCTCTCCAACTCAATGTAAAAACTCAAACTTTATTGATCAATTGAAAGTATGAGGGGACCTCTCTACAATCATGTTTAGCATGTATTTATAGAATTGGGCCCTAAACATGGGTGGATGGCCAAAAACTATCCTAATTGATGATAATTACAATTCATTTAAATTAAAATTAATTCTAAAAATAGGTACAAAATGATTGTTTTGCCCCTGCCTAATAATACATGGAATTCCAAAACAGACCCTGCTGCTGCCCTAAAATGTGAGTGATCTTCCATGGGTGATTCGGGGTTACTCTTGTGCCTGATTGACAAAAAGAAGATTTCTTTCTTGTAAGGATCGTCATGGCGATCGATTTGATGCCAACTTCGAGCCATGGATCGTGTTTTTAATCCACGATCATGCAACTTGAAATTCATGCGAATCTTAAAAACTTCGGATCAATAGTGCGCTCATATCTTGATATTTCTTTATGATTTCTTCGTTGTATTGCACTGAACATGTCGTCATGATAGCGTGACAACAAACGCAGCTCGATTTCGTGCCTGGATGAAGATTTTGCAGTCTTGGGTTTTGGCCGGAATCTGAATTTCGGCAGCCAGAATTTACACCAACTTTATCGGCTTCGCACATGAAATCCAACTGTTCATCACGTATGGGATTCGGACCAATGGTAGCCCTGGACCTTACACACGCAATGGAACTGGTCTCGTATCAATTCGATCTGCGAGCATCGTGATATGACTGGGCGAATGGGATGTGTCGCTGCTGAATTTCCTGCATCTTTTTTCACAAATCATCGATTTTTCTCTAGCATTTCTCCCCACTCGGGTGTCGTCATAGGGCATGATACATATCAAAACGCTCATCTTGACAAGACGAACATGCTCACAAAATTTGAGCGTGATCCAACTCGGGAGAAGTGAGATATGGCTCTCGACAATCATTGCCAGAGAATATGAAAACAGTCACCATTAATGGTGATTTGGTGTACAGACGACGCACAAGAATAGTATGCGGCCTACCCATTTTCGGTCTTTTACCCATAACTTTGTCCTGGAGTGCCCAATTACGCCGAAACTTGACCCCGTAGGGATTTTCGATCGTGACGGATCCAATGGAAGTGATCCCACAACAATTTGATGCACTAAAAATAGAGTTCTAGTTACAGGATTCATTTTAGGGTGCTAGAGACTGATGTTTTAGAAATTGTTTTGTTGTCTGCACTACCTTAAACATGTCGGATTGCGACAAAACTTGGCAGGTGGCCTTTTGAAGTCCTTATGAATATTTTCACTTTTCTGGAAAAATTCTGAGACTATCAAGAATTCCACTGTAATTCAGGCTTTATTGACCGACTTCTCTTTTTATTCCACATCGGTGACCCAAGGTGCTAAAAACTGTTTTTAAACACAGATCTCTAAAAACGTTATGGCATGGGTGTGGGACTTGGGTGAATGGGTTTTCTAGATATTTGTGTCAAAATTTAATGGTGATCCTTTGGGGTCCTACTCACATGGGTGTGGGAGGGTCTCATAGTATCATTACTCTTCCCCTAAATGAAACATGTATTTTTATGGTTAATTGTCTCATCATTTATGTTAAAGGAATGTATATTGACACCAATTATTTTTCGTACAAGAAGATCGCAATCATTTTTAGCTATTGAATATGAAATCTAATACATTGAAGTGTGTCACGATATTTGAGAAATTTTATTTTGGACTTTGTCTATAATCAATGAACATCATCGATCACTCGATTTCACATCCAGCAATAAATAATGATTGCGATCTCCTTTTATAAAATATAAATGGCCTCATTGTATTCAGTTCCTTATGTAAATAGTCACCAAACAGCCATTAACTGTATTGGTGGTTCATTTTTTAACTTCTAACTTAAAAAAATCCAATAATCTCAGTTAGTAGAACTATATACAATGAGATCATTTACCTTTGGTATAGGGAGGTCGCAATTATTTATAACCATCTGATTTGAAATCTGATATCTTGGGTGCCTTACAAAGTTCGAAGAATTTTCTTTTGAACTTTGAGTTTGGTCAATGAAATAAATACAGCCACCCAATTTCACATCTAATGGTCAAGATTAATTGTGACCATCTTGTTCCAAAAGTAAATAGTTTCATTATATACTTTGAGGTAATAAATTAGGACTAGACCCACTTACTCTCTATGAAATGACCTTATACAAAACAATAATGCACAATACTTCTATCATCTTAAAATTGAACAAATCAAATCCAATTTGGATTGTCAACTTCTGATCTAAATCACTCAACTTATGGAACCGATTTAGATCTGATTGGCTATTCCCTATCCGAATCAACGGGTATTAAAACCCTGCTAAAAAGGGTCTTAACGAATTGCTACCGGAGGTCATTTCGAAGGCTAACAAGTTGCCACCTACAGTAGGACCTCATAGTTGTGTAATATCGTGGGGAGGTTCCACTAAAACTGAACTAGTTTTAGTTTTGGAAAAAGTTTATATAGAGCTGAGGCTCTAACAATCCAATTAAAGCCCGCCTCAAAAACTTTTTTAGAAGAGGTCGTTTTAATGCCCAAATATCCTTAAATTGATCATCTCAACATCAAGATGTATGGACATCATAAAAAAATGGATTTTAAATTTTTAAAATAGTGCATCTTGTAATGTATTTTTCGACCAACAATTTTCAATATTTTCAAGTTTTTTATAGATCCGCTCGATCTAATCTATTTTTTAAGCTTTAAATTTTATAATTAAAGATGAAAATATATTTAAGGGTATCACAAAGATTTCCAATAATCAAACCACATTTCTCGACACCATTTGAATGTGCGTTTTACTGTCATTGTTTAGAGCCTGGGCTCTGTACAAACTGCCACCTTTTATTTTTAGTTTTAAAGAAGCGTGTCTTAATTGTTGACATGAGAGAAGGGTTGTTTAAATCCCAAACCCAATAATAGGACGGGAACTACGATGAACTTACATGAGATTAAAAACTTCAATAACTAATCAGATGAAGATAGAGAGAAACAAAAGCAGTTGGAGAGGAAGGGGAGAGAAAGAAGGTGGTGGGTGTGATGAGCTAACACAAAGGAAGAGTTGGGAAGTTGTAACTCTGTATAATTACATACAACAACGTGCATGTCTGGTTTGGTAGCAAATACATTGACCATCATTCTTCTCAATATAAATATCCACTAAGTTATCCATCAAATCCTCTCTCTCTAATCTCTCTGCTCTCTCTCTTTCTTTTATCACTCTCGTTAATCTTTTCTTTCCTCTCTCTCTATAATCTCTCTCCTCTCTCTCATTTCGATAGCTGTAGCTAAAGAAAATAAGCATGGGTTATACCAAAAACAACTCCAAAACTTGTGCTTTTCTTTGTTATGTTGCATTGGTAGCAATGGCTGCTGTAGATGGCAACTCTTCTTCAGCTGGAGAGCTCAATGTGATGTAATTTGGTGCCAGATCGCACCATGGGCAATAGCGAGGTAAGCCGTATAAAGCCTAATACCACATAATTATATGAAGATTAAAATACCAATGTTGGAAAGGTCCACTCGACTCAAGCCAGGTACTCAACCCAGTCTGAAGCGAAGTACTCAACCCGAGTTCGAGTAACTCAGCTTGAGTTGGGCCGAGGTTTGGCCAAGCCATACAATGTTAAATAAAAAATAAAAAAAAATCACAAAAATAAGAATATATGTTTGAAGTAAAATTAAATAAAACACATCTAAATGAGGTTAAAAATTAGTGAAAAAAAAGGATTTTGGAAAACAATTTGTGAAGGGGGTATTTTAGAAATAATCTTAAAAAATGGAAAAATGTTAAAATAAGTATTCATGGCTAACACTATCCAATCTTTGCCAAAATGATAAAAAACATAAAAAAATAGAAAAATTTATATACAAACCATATTTGGGGGGATCAATTATAAAATGGGATAACGTTTGTCTCAAGTTACGGGCGGCACCTCCCTTCGCGGCATTTTTTTTCCCAAGTTACGGCCTTGTCCGATAATGCGAACATCGGATAGGTGGGGTCTGTATAGTGTAAACCAAAATGGTTGTCCTATGTTTAAAATACCGGACAACTATCTGCTACCCACAAAACCAACAAGCCCTCCCCCTCTCTCTCTCTCCCTCTAAACATCGTGACTCTGTATTTATTTTAAAAGATACTCTTTTAACCCTTCTCTCTCTCAAGCCTTCTCTCTCTTGTAACCCTTCTCTCTCCCCTAAATTTCATTGGCTTCAATAGCATGATTGGTTTGCCTGTTCCGCAAAAGGAAGGATTTTTCTCAACCGATTAATGATACACTGGCCCTTGGCCCTATCTATTTGCCTATTGTAAAGTTAGAGGAAAGAGATAAGTTACATGAGAGAGAGATACGGTTTGGGGGGAGAGAAAGCGTGAGAGAGATGGGGAGGGGCAATATTTGGCTCAGAGCTCAAGTCTTAGGACCTTTGGAGTTCGGCTCAAGCAGCGAAGGGAGTGCTGGTGATATCAATGGTGCCTGATCTTAGGGTTTTACCTTATGAGGTAAACCCAGAGGGGAGCATTCATTGTACCTCTATAAATGGGTAAAGAATTATCTCTTACTGCACCAAAAGGTAAAACCAGAGGGGAGCATTCATTGTACCTCTATAAATGCGGTAAAGAATTATCTCGTACTGCACCTCGAGGCAAAATGTACGGTCCACATTAAAGTTGTTTGGTGCAACACGCTCCTTATTAAGTGATTCATAGTGTGTTTGGAAATACTATTTCAGATTTTATATGTGATGCACAGATTCTGGTCGTAGCTTAGTGAAGGATGTTGGTTAGAGAGAAAAAGAGAGATGAACCACTCTTCTTTTCATTTTATTTTGCATGATGAAGAGTTGGAAGCTTTGAATAAAGGGGACCTTTTGCCCATTGTAAGGTTAGGGAGAGATGGATTAATAGAGAGATGGTTTGGGGGGAGAGAGAAGGGTTGAGAGATTATTTTTAAAAAATAGAGAGTCACGATGTTTAGAGAGAGAAAGATGGCTTGTTGGTTTTGGAGATAGAGGATAGTCGTCCAGTATTTTAAACACCGGATAGCTGCTTTGCTTTGTATGGTATAAACCACACCTATCCGGTGTTCACATTACCGGACAGGAGGGCAACTTGAAAAAAAAATGCCGCGAGAGGTAGGGGGTGCCGCCTGTAATTTGGGGCAAACATGATCCCATTTTGTAATTGACCCCCATCAATATGGTTCGTACATAAAATTCTCAAAACAATATATTATAAATAAATTTCTTATGTTTTGAAATTTTATAATTTTTAAATTTTTTTTTTTTTGGGATCCCCAAGTTGAACCACTCAACTCAAAGATACTCAAGATTGCCAAGGTGGCAAGTCCAAGTTACTCAGGCGTTAGAGTTGGCTTGCTCGTGTAATCCAACACTGTAAAATATAATATGCACCCTTTAAATGTTGGACTTGAGTATAAAATATGAAATATAAAAAAGCATCTTTTAAATTACCATAACAAGATGAGATTTTTGTTTACATAGCAGAAACGGTCCATCCATCGCAACAACATACCAATATTTACATTTTGCAAACCTCAAGTTAGTTGGCTTACAGTGGCTTGAAAGTTTTGCAGGCTCTCGGTGCAGCATGGAAGGCAGCATGCGGATGGAAACGTCCATCACGCCTTGTAATCCCCGAGGGAACGTTCCTCGTCGGTCCAGTCCTATTCAAAGGTTCGTGCCTGAGTGCCTATCATATGATTGTGCAGGTGAAAGGCAAAGTGAAGGCTTCCACAGATATGAACAAATACCCTTTCGACAACTGGATCGTGTTCCAGTACGTAGATGGCCTCGTGGTAACTGGGGGAAGGATGTTTCGATGGCCAGGGAGCATCTGCATGGAGCCTCAACCAGTGTCCTAAGAAGGTCCACTGCAAACTCCTCCCTACGGCACAAATGATCTCCCTTCTCAATCCTATTATCATTTATAAGACTCTTATAGGTTAGAAGACTGAGTACCCTAGCTATATAAGTTACAGCATTGTTGGATGAGTCTCAAGTTTAGTTGTAGGGTTTCAACCTTGTATAAGGTTGCAACAACAGAAAAAAAGTAAGAGACCAACAAGTTTTCTAATTGTCATGCTTAGCAATCATTGAGAATTATGAATGTTATCTCACGCTAATTGAAACTTATGCAGTCATTGAAATTCAATTTCATTACAAACGAGGCAATAAGGGGCATACATTAGTGGATAGCAAGCTCTGTCACATGCTATTGTTTGGCTGCAAGAATATGAGTGTCCAATCCATCAAAATCTCAGCGCCGGCCGACAGCCCTAACACTGATGGCATCCATATCGGATCATGTTCCAACATCACGATCTCACATTGGAACTAGGGACGATTGCATCTCCCTTGGGCCTGGCAGCACCCAAGTGACTGTGAAAAAGGTGTTTTGTGGACCAGGACATGGCAATAGGTGAACTATAACATTTTGTTTTTAATATTTATCGTACTAGGATTGAAGAGGTTATTGAGGAATTTAAACCTTGAAAATTGAAAAGAGGAAAGGAATCCAAGTTTTTAAAGAATTAGGGGACCGAAAAAAAAAATACATCTAGGCTCTTAGTTACTTTGGAAAACTTGAAACTTTTTTTTAAAAAAATAAATTGGCACAAACAAAAGAATTTAAATTTACCTTTTCAAGTTAAATGACAACTAAATTGAGCCTCATGGGAATATCTTTATATAATTCAGTGTTGGAAGTTTGGGCAAGTTCCCTAAGGAGGAGGATGTGCAAGGGCTTCATGTGGAGAATTGCACCATCTCAGACAACACCAATGATCTGAAGATCAAGACTTGGGCAGGCTCAGCCAGTAGCTCTGCCTCCAAATTCACATATGAGGACATTGTGATGAACAATGTCGCCAACCCCATCATCATAGATCAGCAATATTGCCCTTATACTTCTTGCTCACAAAAGGTAAACCATGAAAGAGTACCACTTCTTGCATAAGGCTTTGCAATACAAGAGTGCCCATGCATCGAGTGTGAGAGACAGAGGTTTTGATTCATCCATGGAGTTCGATACATTGAGATTCACTGAAGGACTAATTTTTAACAAACCTTCTCATGCTATTGCTGCAGGGTCCCTCTCGAGTCAAAATCATCGACATAAGTTTCAAGGACATCAGAGGAACCTCTACTTCTAAAATTGCAGTAAATCTCTTGTGCAGTGAGGCATTCCCGTGCAAAATGTTAAGGTTGAAGGCATCAAATTGGAGTACAATGGACAAGGGGAAGCTTCGACAGCCTCGTGTACCAATGTGAAAGGGATCTCTGCCGGGGTACAAATACCACGAACATGCATCTAGAATCCATCATCTCTCTCTGTCTGCTAGTTTTTAAGATTATTGGAAGGAGGATGCTCTGTTGTCTTTGTCAGCTTGATGCCTTCCCTCACATGGGGTTATGGCATGTACTCATGACGATATATATGATCAAAATTGAAAATTTAATGCAAAAGTGAAAAATTTTGTGTCATCCTCATAACTTATTTTTCAATTTCAATAAAGCGGGTAGAGGCAGTCATCCCCACTGATTTACCCAAAAAAAAAAAGAAAAAATTGTGTCAACTACTCGACTTCTAAAAATCAAATATAACATTTAATGTGAATTTACGAATGTAGCATACCTCGTTTCTTCGAGAGGAACTGATCTTCTTTGCTTTGTTTTCACCAAAATCAGATTCTGCATCTCTGTTCTATGCGACGTACGAACCTTGATTCTGAAATGCTCTTTGACTCATCCAAAATTCTCTACGCAATTGGAAGAGAGCAAAGCCCATACATAATAGAGGAACCAACAAGAGATGGAGAATGGTGGACCCGCAGGGCCACAAAATTTCATCAAATTCTCAGTTGGCCAAGGGCCAAAAAGCAATGAATTTCATCATCTTAAGAGAATTTTAAAAACTGACTTATTAGTCTTTAAGAAAGTTCAAAAATGCCTACACACGTAAAAACATTTTTTCAATTTAGCTTCCTTTATTTATACCATTTTGCAATTAAACATTTCAAAAAGGAAAAAGTTTATATAAGGATGCTACCTTATAATGTAGAACTATGGATGCCCCTCAAAAATCCTTCGAAAAAGGTAGTTTTCATGTTGAAAAACCCTTTGATTGATCATCTCAACATTGAGATGTATAACTATATGACTATGAAAAATAAAAAGATTTTAAGTCTCAAAAATAGTGCATTTTACAGCACATTATCTACACCGTCCATTTTCAAGATTTTCATATGATTATAGATCTACTTGATTTTAACCATTTTTTAAATTTAAAATTTTATAATTAGAAATAAAAATAGATTTTGAGATAATCCTAAAAACATTTTACATCAAGATCATACACCATGATAAATTTGAAGGTGCACCTTACCTCTACACCTACGGATGCATCCCTATGGCAACTGCACCTTTTCAAAACCAACGTACCACGTATTTCTTTCACGTAAAACTTACACATGCGCTTACACTACACACGTGCACTAAGTTGTACACGCTAACTTCAGCTTACCCGCATGCTAATACATGAACATGCACCTACCATAGTCAACCAGTCTCCGTTTAAAATGCGATTGTTACAAAAACTCTCCGATTTTTTTAAATCCGTTTAGAATCTGAGTTTTTCAAAAGATCTTAAAAAAATTGCACCTTTTTTCATGGAACCGATGTAAACCCGTATTTTATCTTTTCTTAAAAAAAAAATTCAAAAGAACTTCTTCCCTACAACTTTATTTCTTTATTAACTTAATATTATTGAAATTTTATTTAAAGATAAGCCAATTAATAGTAGGAGTAAATCAAGAATCTTGATTTAAAGTAAAATTCCATAAAACGTTTCACCTATAATTTTCCTGAAAAAATGTTTGCAAAAAATTACAAACAATATATTCCCCCAAAAAATAAGATATAAGAACAATGGTATATCTCAAAATAATAGACAAAGTTAGAAGACTAACGCCATGAAAAACCGTTTCTTTTCTTCTTCGTTTTTTTTTTTCTTTAAACCCAGTGCATCCTTATAAAGAGCATTTTGTGTGAGATTCGAAATTGCTTAAAGATTTTGTATACTAAATATTTAAGCAGCTAGGAATTCAACTTGAGATTCGAATTTGCTTAAACACTTGATATATAGAGGAGTTTGATTATTTTTTTATTTTTTTATTTTTATTTTATTTTATTGGTATATATATAACATAGAATTTTGGATGGATTACTATTTTATGTATTTGGGTATGTATTTTGTTTTAGTTAATTGCAATATTATACTGAGGATCTTTTTTGTGTACAATTCTTGTTATCTTTACTAATGTAATTATTTATATTTTATTTTATACTCCAAATAAATATGTGATATGTTATGTGTTGTGACAACAGAGTAAACATTGTTGTTGGACTTATTGAAAGTTTAGACAATAAATTGTGAAGTATCAATCTAACGATACTAGGTAAGGTCATAAAATTATTGTTCAATGGCTTTAATGCATCTATACAAATAACTGCAAACCATAATCCTAAATTATGTCATCTCTACATATCTTATTTTTTCATTCTGTTTTTTTGAAGCAAATTTGAATTATTCACAACTTTCTAACTTACCTATTTTTTTGCAATATGTATTTTTTACTCGATTTTTTCTACCTACTTTTTAAAACAAAATCTATTCATTACCAATGTTTTGGCTTAGCGATATATTATTATTCCCCGACTTGCTAACTATGGTACCTACATACGTACATTTCGATACGATAGCCATTTTGTTTGGTCAATGTCAAGATGGAAACTATTCACAGGGGTGGGGGCGGATGTTATGCATCTATTGTGATGCCTAAATAGTGTACGTTGTCTATTATTTATTTAGATGCAAAACACCATTTCCATTGTGGACCTCATCCTTAAATAACGCAGGTACTTGTGATGCCTAAATAATGTACATAGTCGAAATAGGATTTTTTTTTCTTACACATTAATGTTTCCCTGTGGTACTTCAACAGGTGATGTATATGTTGTGGGAGATTTGGAAAGAAAGGAATATGAGGACGATAAGGAGGGTTTTGATTTACATTCAATATAATCTTTGGAGTTAGTTGACAATAACTAAGGGTGGGAAATTATTGAAATCGATGTTTGCCTATATAAAAATATAAAATAAAAATAAAAATAATAATTTTTTGGGCAACAAGCCATGTCGCCCACCCTGCAAGGGCGACACCACTAGTGTCAACCCGTGTCGCCCAACTGCAAGTGTCCCAGAAAAAATCTGGGACCCCACATGACCATTCCAAGGACTTTTAGAACCCTGTTGACCAATATTTTACCTAAAATAAAATTTTTAAAAATATAAATAAATATATATATATATATATATATATATATATATATATATATATAC